ATAAAAAATTTCAAACATATGAATAAGGTATTATTCATAATAGGTATATTATGATTTATATTATGGTATTCAGATTGTTGCAATAGATGCGGAATTATTTCATTATTAATCCACTTCTGAAAACATCTAAAAAAGAGCATTTTTTTCAAAAACGGAGTTCACATATTTATTCTATTACGACTCTTTACTTCATATTGTTCTAATGAATTTAACACTGAGTTTTGGATCTTGATATTATCCAAATTTATGTTGAAGTTTATCATTATATAATAATTGTAAAATATTTAATACCTAATATGCACGCTTTATATATCGATAACAATATTGATAAAAACATTGTTTATATAAAATATAAATATTTAAAATAATATATTATTTTACAAATGCAATTACTTCTACTTTGAGGTTCACGCAAGCATTAAATGATGCACGGCGTATAGTTTAGGCAAAATGTGTGCATTACTGAAGTGTTTTAGGTTGTCGATATTTACCTATACACATCGTGTAAGTACACACTACACAAATTAAATAATGCAGTGTAGACAAATTTGTTTTATTATCATTGCTTTCATTCAGTTCAATCAGTTCATAATGATTAGTAGTCTTCTTCTTATAATCACACAATAGTATTCAATTAAACCAATTATAGTTATTGCTAACAGTCTGCACGATTCAAATGTACATATGTGATATGCAATTTATATTATAGCCTGAGAACATTCTATTGATGACAATACAGTTGTTTCACTCAGTTTTGACGGTGAATTCACTATTTTATATGTTTAGCCTTTCAGTTGTTTACATTTAAAAGATACAGGGGAAAAACAGTAGCACATTAAATATTTTGTCATCACAGAAAGCGCATAATATTTCTTTTCGATATCTAACTATCTATTAAATATCAAAAAAAATATTAATTATGTATAGTTTTTTTGATCTTCAACTCGCTAACGTTTGACATGCATTTTTCATAATACGTTTAACATATCTCCTTTACGCCCACATCGTCCGCGATCCGAAGCAGTTGGATCGCCTACCTGGGAGGTTCAAACGCGTTTAACTGGATTTTCAGTGGTGATCGCTTGAAAAATCGAGCGCTCGATTCGACTTAAACTTTTTTGCGTACTATACAGCACAACGCCCTCGACGTCAGGAGGTATGACATGAGGTATTGCCCTGTCAGGAATCGATATTCGCTGGACGATGACTGATAACTAGACACTTAATTACCTTTTCGGAATGTATTTATTTATTTTCCATGCACAAAAGCACAGGGCAAGCTACGGGACAAGGTGTATTACACCTGTAAATTTAATGAAATAACCCACCACTAAACGTTCGAATTGGACTTTTATATACTTATATTATATTATAAGATTATTATTTACGCGTTTAAAACGACACCGCCAAAGTGTAAAACCACCAAATCAGAGGTACCAACGTCTCAAACATCGTTATCACTAGTTTCGCGTACTAGACTTTTCTAACTGCGGTATTCTTAAGTCCTGTCGTCCTGTCTCCGACCTAGGAAATTCACTTCAAACGATTTTCAGCTACCTAGGGTATTCACATACAGCGAGTTTCACCAACCTAGGGTATTCACTTACAACGAGTTTCACCGTTGTTAGTAAAATTGATTAAATTATGACGAATACAAAAGTATATGTTTTACATAGAATTTATTCAATTTTTAATTTTTTTTAAATGTTTTTTCTATATAATTTAAAAAAATTTTTCTAAAATTTTTCTTTTTCTGGGTTTATAGAATATCATATAATATTGCTGTCTGAATTAATCCGAAAATAACCAGTTGGGACTATTCGATTATGAAAAAAATAGGAATTAAAACACATGATGTAATTATGGCAACTTCATAGTCTTCTATAATAAGGATCACGTCTTCATCACATCTCATTTCCTGTGTATTAAATCATTCACTTATTTTATATATACCGTAACAATAATAATAATTATTATTATTATTATCATAATTATTTTCAGACGATTATTATGTTAAATATTATATCCAATCCAGCAATCACTCATATCGTTTTGGCGACTTTTCGTCATGTACCATCCAGCTACAGCACCAGCTATTAAAAATAAAGCGCAAGTGAACTTGGTTTTGTCGAGAAACATAATTTAGTATTAATTAATTAAATATATTTTATTAGTTTATGTTAATTTTTGTATTGTTACTAGTTTGTGTTACAATATTACATACCAACCAAATAGAATACATACTATTAAAATAATAAATTAATAAAAAATAAACAACAGCTGTTAAATTCCAAAAGAAAATTATCGACATGCAAGTTTTACATCCTTTCAATATAATTTATTAAATTAAAATACAATCATACATTTTAATCTATAATATTTAATAAAAACATAGCTTTTGTAATAGTTTTATTTTATTTCATAGCTGTATAAATAGATGTATACAAAATATCTTGATAGTATAGATAGGTTAGGTAGTCCAATAGAAAAAAAAATCAACACGAATAATTTGAAAAAAAAATCAGTGAGGTAAATGTTAGTGACTGATTTAATTTATGAATTAAATTTGTATATGTTTGCAAATGATTAATCTACCTATTATTATACCAATCGGGCAGTCAGTAGTCATCACCTATAATAAAATGAAACATTTTTTAATTGCTCAACACGTGATTTTAAAGTAATATTTAATAAGTCACTTATTATCACACAATATTATTTTGTTTAAGTCTACTTGTCTCATTCAGTCAACTTTAGTAATTATACATTTTTTCCAATAATATAATATATTAATATACATATGTATAGTAAAGCCACGATAGTCCGGAATCCTGATAATTCGGTTAACGCGGTAATCTGGACAGCATAAATCTATTTATTTGTAAATATATTTGTAATTTGTTCGGAATTAAAAGTATTATTCAGAAAAAAAATACTGACTACCATACTGAAGTTCTATTATGATACACATTTTTTTTTTTTTTTGTAATTCATTATGTTAAAGTTATTTATTATTTTTGTAATTTTAAGTTCAATAAGTATACCTAAAGTTGGTGGAATTAAAAATGTAAATCTTAGTAATTTGAGTAGGTAATTTTAAAAACCCTCCGGTATAATCTGTACGATGCTCGGTCTGAATTCGTCCGGGCTATCATCGAGGCTTTACTGTATATATACCAAAAATCAGTAAAACAACCGATTTTTAAAGATAAATTATAAAATAAAAAACCGAATAAAAATTAATTATGATTTATTATAATAAATTATAAAACTTGCCATTTATTTAAAAAAAATTATGTCCTCAAGATGGTGGCCATCTCTTCTCAAGCACTCTTTTAACCTATTTCGTATGTTGTTCACATTTTGGTAAAATTTGACAAAATTAGTGATAGATTGGGAATGTTCAAACGATTCTCCTAAATTTTTTTTTATAAAAATAAAAATTTTGAAAAATTGCTGAATCTCCAAATTTCTCATACGCTTTGACATCTATTAGCACAAATTTACAGTTACTATCACAAATTGCCATAAAAATTAGAAAGAAAAGTCCTTCATAATTGTAGCACATTAATCCACTAAATTGGTCAGTGTAGTAATTCTAATATGTTACCATTGCATACAAACAGTGAAGAAAATTCGCTCTCCTAAAAAAAATCATTTGTAATTTGATACCAAATTTCTTTTATTAGTTCAAGTGGACATACTTCTTTATGTCATGAGTTTTTTTTTTTTTTGAATTTCGTCAATTTAAAATCGGATTAATTTTATTTAGTCAGAAGGCAAATCTAACCTCATTTTTTTAATCAATGTTTAAATTGAAGGGTAGTGATTTTTACCTACTAATTTTGAAAAACTATAGTTCCTCCTTTCTATTTGATTGTCGATTTGATGTCTTTTACCAACGGTAGTTTGATAGATATTCCACATTCACGATAAATAGAGTTGTTATAAAAAAGTTGAATATGGAACGCATGCGACGAGATATTCTGTATAGCTTATTTTGTGTCTTTTTTATCTGTAGATTTTTTTTCCGAGGTTTTTTATCTGTGGCATTTTTTATAAAACTACCTAATATTTAAAATAACAATATAGATAATCTTAAAAAAATATATACCAGTTAAAAATTTTCTGCAAAATCTCAGTCAGTTGGCAGTGAGAAAAGTATTTACTTGACTAGCAGAAGTTGAGAGTTGATTCTCCACAAAAATCACTATGAAAGCAGGGTTTATTATTTAAAATAAAATTGTAATCTCTTGGCCACAGAATCATCAATCTAACATACATACAATAATAAATATATAATTAAACATTGATTAATACCGGTGCCGCAACTTAATTATTTAGGACCTCACTGCCTCAGAGCTATTTATGATAATAGAGATATTAAAGAATAATATTATAGAGCTATAATCAATGATGATATGATTTTCATTTCATTAATTTAATAACACTTGAGAATTAATTAAATTTAAAAATAAATAATTAATCACTATGTACATTTTAGCAAATAATTGTGAATAAAAATAAATAATACATCTCAAACATGTAGAATAAAACAAAAATATTCAATTATAAATTATATGTTATTTCAAATTCTAAAATGTATTCACATAAATACATAATATAGATACACTATTGATATGTATTATCATTGAGTTTTATTTATACAATATTAAAAGTCAACACAAGTATATAATATTTATATAAATTATATTTCAAAGATTGTTTTCATACATTTTTACCATGTAACTTCAAAATAATAATACACAAAAATAATGTTTTATTCAAAAACCAAATTTCGAAGACAAGTTGAAGATAACATAGTTATTCTTAGGTTTAAACCCACATTAGACAAATTTATTTCTAGATAAATGCTTAAGAATTTTAATTTAATCAATGTTACATTATAAATATATAGATACATTAGATGAGTATAAATCAATGTAAAAACTTAATTCAAACTTTTCAACTCAATAGATATGTCAATTTTTTAAAGTAAGGTTTTTTTACAAACAGTACAATAATTGATCATTTTTTTAACATAATTTTTTACTTATTCCATTTTGTTTGAAAACTTTAGTTCCGTTACACTGATTTTACCCATATGTCTAATTACTTTATACCGAGCTAAATCTTTACGTGTCACAATCCCCGCAACCTATAATTTCAATGAGAATATACTATTTACATATTAATTACATAATTTCAATAATTAAAAAGTAAAGAAAAAATAATTACTTCATTTGAATCATTCACAACAACTATATGCCGAAGTCCCATAGCTCTGAATAATTTAAAAATACGTGGCAATGACATTGTCTGTATATATAAAAAAGTATAAAAATTAAATCAAAGTGTTATATGACTAAAATATTTAAGTCTTAGTTTACAAATTCTTAATATAAGTTAGAAAAACATCAAAATAAAAGTATTATTTAATTCAAAACTATGAACTTTTTAGTAAGAATTGAAAATTCAAATTTACATTTTTATACCGAAATCTTAGTTAAATACCGGTACCTATCTATAGATGTTATACTTAAGAATATCTATGCTGCATCTGCATTTGTACTCCGTCTTAGAAGTAGGTACGTAACACAATAAATCTATGTTCAACCGCTCACGTTTAGCCTTATTAGCTTTAATATTAGAGTATATTTTAACCTATTATTAAACTTAAAGGAAAAACTTTATTTGTATTCGTAACTTATTACAATAATTCCATTTTTAAGTTATTTTATTTACACAAAAGTTGCTACAAAATTGAATTATCTTAAAACACTAACATATAAACACAAATAAATTTGTTATTATTATTTTCCATAATATAACTGATTCACTCTGATCAAAGCTAATGAAAGCTAAACGTGAACTACTGAGCATAGAGTTGCTATACTATGCATTTGTTAGATGGAGACAACAAATGTGGGTATAGCATCCTCGTGGCTTAATTATTTTATATGAATTTGAATAAATATACTAGATTATAATCGAATGGTTTAAGTCATATGAATAATATCCTCATGAAGTACATAATATAGCCTATGAATTACCAAGTTAAAAAAAATTAATACTATAGAAATTTATTATACTCACATGTTGAACGATGTATGGAGATGGATTCATGAATCGCGATAAATCTATAATTAGTTTAAGGTCATTTTGCAGTAGTTGAATATCCTGTAATAAAGATAATAGTAATAATAATTTATTCAATTGAATAAAACTGACAGAAGACTAATAATTGTAGTAACAGATAATACACAAAATAAAATAGATATAATACAGAAATATTCATAATATATGAAAAATAAAATAAAAATAGGTAATTTGTAATAATATAAATAGTGATACCATAACTTAATACATAACTGTAATGATAGATAACTTTGTATTTTTGAACACTTGTTATAGTGTATATCATAAATAGATTTATAGCCATAAAATACTGCACTATATCCAAAGCAGTACTTAATAGTTTTTGCACCCCAGACAAGATAATTAATTTGTACCACCTTCTACAAATTGCTGAAATTAATAGGAAAATAGTTAGAATTATTTACCTACATCTAGGTATCAATGTATATTGATACCAATAATATTACCTAGTACAATCAGTTAAATATCCTACCTGGATTGATTTTAAATACATAGTACACTAGTACCTATACAATAGGTAATGTATACATTGAAAGAAAATAATTTAACCCATTATCTAGCTTTGAATACAAATTAGTATTTATAAATAAATATAATATAATTATTGATAGCTGCTAGTATTTTAATTTTCTGAATACAATATTTAAAAAAATTAAACGCTTACCTCAATACTTGAATATCTAGGATAGTCTTCTCTAAAAGTTTCCATAGTAACTGAGTCCCAATAATTAGTCAGTGGTCCATCGAATACTTTGTTATCCAAAAGTACAATTAGTTGTGATCGTAATATTAAACCACGCAGATAACATAAAGTTTTTCCTTCATCCTAAGTAAGTAAAATAAAGTATTTTGAATTTAATATTTAAAAAATAACAATAATTAATAAAATAACTAATAGTTAACTTACTAATTCATTATTCTGCACGTATTCAACTACTGGAAAACCATTGTGGGAATATTTTTTTAATGTTTTTACAATGTTTTCAACTGATTCTTTAGTTTTAAATGTAATAACTGGATGAGTCATTAAATTATTGGCATAAATACTAGATGATAATGGTGGTGGGTCCCAAGCTAATAATGGCATACCACTTAAATCAATTTGTGTGTCATATATGCTCTGTATAAAATAAACTTAAAGTTAAAACTATATATTAAATTTAAAAAAAGTATTTTGATTAAAATAATACATGTAATCTAATTTTTTAGGATTGATAGAATTATTACAAGTAAAAAGCAAGAACTCTTCCAGCCTCCCCCCCCATTTAATCTAGTTATACAAAACTTAAAATATAATAGTTTATATGTTTAAAATACCTAATTTAGTAATTTATACAAATATACAATTATCTAATTTTAAAATGGAACTTCAAACTTATTAACACAACTTCCAGTTGCAAACTACATTGTACTTATTCTTAGTAAGCACTTAAAGGTAACATCATTTAATATGTATAATACATCGATATCTATTCTGATATGCAGAATTAAATATATAATGTATACATACTATATAAATGTATAATATAGAGTTTATAAAGTGTACTACCTATTACTTATATAATACATGCAATTTATTAAAATAATTACCTATATATTATTATTTCGTATTTTAATTTATAAATTTATTTACTTATTGAATTTTACCTATGTCCTAAAAATATCACTGTGGACCAGATATAAAAGATAGTATACAACATAGTTGATAATCTGACATAAATAACAATAGTATAATTTATAAATATTGGCTTTAAAGTGAAATAAGTTTTATTAATTCACTTACTTCTGAAAAAAAATCACCAACCCACTTGGCTGTCATTAAACAAATCATTAGTGGTAAGCCAAATGTTATGCTTCCAGTAGCTTCTACTAGAATAATTGTCAAACTAATTGTCATTCTTGTAATTCCACCCAATTGTGATGCAGCACCAATTAATGAATATATACCTATATTCTGGAATTAAAATAAGTTTTAATTAGAATATAAGTACTAAAATAAGTATGGTATGTTATAAATTATAAGTTCGTGACATAAAAACACACTGTATTTGGAAAAAAATGAAATATTGTTTGTCCAACAAGTCGTCCCCATGCTGCTCCAGTACACAGTCCAGGTATTAACACACCGCCACTAAAATGCACTCCGTATGTCCACAAAGTTATGAAATAAGCAAATATACCAAAATAAACTATTGTAGTTGTATTAAAAACATCTAAAATATAGTATAAAAACTATAATCAATGCCAAAAATTATAAATAGTAGGTATCATACACAATTATACATAAATTATAATACCAGGAGTATCATGAAACAATGATTGTACTGTTCCTTCTAAAAGCTGAAACCATAAAACAGCCATAGCGTTAAACTCACCATCATTGCATCCAAACTGATATAATAAAACATATAACACAAATAAAACAGACTATATTTAAATCAATTGCATTGTATTAGTCTAATTATATAAACATAATAATTATGATTTTTAATTTTTATAGAATAAATATGATTTTTTTATACTTTATAGTCATCTTATACCTGAATAGGGTGATTTATTGGATCAAGTCCTAATTTTTTGCAATCACTAGTAAACAGAATGAGTAAAAAACTGATTGTCACTGTAGTCGAACACACAATTAAGACTTCTAAAACTTTTTTCCAGTCCTTATTAACATATCTGTAAAATAATAAAAGCTAATAATTTTTATTTTTTTCTCTTTTTTTGTTTGCATTTTTAAATAAAAGGGAATACAACAAACTAAATTATTTAGTATATTTTTATGCTTTTTATAATCTATAAATTGTGATTATCTTTGTTTTGTATTTGCAAACTGTTTTAATTTTAATCATCTATTGATTATTGTGATTTACCTTTTCCTGAATTTAAATAATTGGATATTTAAATGACAAAACAATGCTCCCGTTAAACCACCGACTATACCCATAAGTACAAATATTGGAATGTCAAATATATGATATGATAAATCATCAAATTTTCCAAAATTTAACAAACCTTTGTATGTAAGGTCACCTACAATATAAAATATTATTTATTTTACAAAATGTCTAGACATTATTAGAAGAACAATATTGATGAATGATGAGTGATGACTTGACCTGGATGCCCATGATAAGCACTTAAAACAGAGTGTAATGTGAACATTGAAATCATAGAACCAAAAAATATTCGCCATGTAAGTGCTTGATTCCAGAAACTAGCACCCTCTTCTAAACTGAATAACAAACCACCTATAATAAAATATATGAATATAATTTCGACAAAAATAATAAATATTGCAACTCAAGATTACAAGAATATTTTGCTAAATGACATACCTACTGGAGCACCAAAAGCGGCAGCTATACCTGCTGCAGCACCTCCAGATACAAAATCTCTTTTTTCATGATCTTCTCTAAAAAAATTCAATGCACCCAAATCTTTATTGAAAGTTGTACTTTTTCCTTGAGAAATCCCTGCAGCTACTATAGCTCCTGCATGAATCATAGGTCCTTCCTAAAAATAAAAAATAAATTAAAACTTATACAAGAACACAATTATATACAGATTCATATTTGATAAAATATGATATCAAAATAATATGCTTCATATACAATGACAATTAGACTTACTTTACCACCCCACAGGCCACCAAGTGCAACAGTAATAACACCTATTACTTTGACAATCAATGTCTTTAGTCTAATCAATTTAGGTACTTTGATCCCATTTAAAAAACATTTCACAGCCGGGATACCAGAACCTTTAGCCATCGGCTATGAATACAAAGTAAATAAAATATTATAATTATTACCTACTACAATATATTAGAGCATTATACAATATTAAATAATATATCATGATTTATACTTTATACTCACTTCAACATAAACTATAAGACATGACCCAATGAATGATGGGATTAAGTTTAGTATAAGAGCCACTAAATAAGGTTTAACCATACAATCCTTTTTAGTACAATTGTCAAAATCTAAGTTATTTATATTAAAGAAATATTGACCCTTATTTTTATTATAATTATAAAATAATAAACTTACTTGCATTAGTAATTACAAATTAAACATCAAACTCATTAAGATTTATAAAAATTATTAGGTTATATAAGTTATTTACAGTCTGTACAAGTTACATTTATCCAAGAAAATTATTGTGAAAGGTAAAATATTCAAAGTTATTTTGTAAATATAGTATAAATTGTGATTGTATGTACTAAAGATAATATAAAAATGAAAAAACCAACTCCAATGAATCAAAATTGTTAAATTTTGAAGTAAAATCAATAATAAATATAATATAGGTAATCATAATTCATGTTTTAAAAATATCAATGCTTTAGGTTTAAAAATAAAGTAAGATTAAATAAAACTAAAACTAAGAAACTAGAACTAATACAAAATTTTTTTGAATAAGATTAATTTGTGCTTCAATTTATTTTAGAAATAAGTAATAAGCAAATCATAGCTCAAATTACTGAATGTGTTTAAAAAGTTAGCCATACTATACTAAAGTTGGTTCCCCTCACCATTATCTAAATCAACTTCAAAAATATACAAATGTTTTATAAGTAAATTATGAGTTGCAAATAAATATTAAGAAAGATTTAACAACTCTAACATTATCAATACAGAAAAAACAATTATCTAATAAAATTGTTACTAAAAGCACAAAATATTCTGTAGAAAAGTAAAGCGTTGACATAATTATTGTTAAAATGGTACTTGTATAATATGTCCTTTAAACTGAAGATAATTTTAATTATTTATTAATTATTTTTAGGTATAATATTTTAATTTTTATTAAACGTTGGTAAAGACAATTTTTTTTTTCAGTATTAAGTTATTAATAATAATTAATAATTTAAAATTAAGTAAATATGTAAAAGGATACATTTTTTGATCATGTTGAACTTAAAATTTGTTCCAATTTCAATGGAAATAAAAATGATTATTCCAATAAAGGCAACTATTACCCCAATCCAAAAAAATGTCATCCATCTAGAAAAATCTTTTTGTACAACATATCTATAACCTTTTTTCTGTTCTTCTTTACGGTATAATTCATTTTCAATGACTTCATAATCTAAACTCTATAAAATAAAAAAAAAAATAAAAATATATCACCATTCAATAGGTTGAATATAACTCTGAAAGGTACCTGCGTCATCATATAAAATTGTTTTATTATTAATAGATAATATAAATTCTATTTTGTACACAGGATATAGATAAATAAGTACGTAATTAAATAATAGTTAATGAGTATATATATTTAATAAAAAAATATTAAGTAATGATATGACAATTAATTTATTGGCTATCATCATTTTTTATTTCATATTGGTTTTCATTTTCAATATTTTGTACCATTTATTAAAATATTTCAGATTTTTTTCATGGGAATTTTTATCCAGATTACGCGTATAGGCTTGTCCCGATCTTTTTTTTAGATCATTCACAAGCTAAATGGGTTATTTATGAATGTGAAACTACTAAATTGTATAACGTCTTGTAATAATAAGAAGTAGGACTTCCCAAATTAAAAAAAATAATATTATTAGTACTTTATTGTGAATACAAGTAACAAAAATAATGTTACTAATAAAAAAAAATAAAATAATATACACAAGGAATTGTACGAATATTTCTATCAATCATGTTTTATCAAACTTAGCTGATGTTTTCTATGCATGGTACCTAAGCATTTATGTGTGTACCTCCTGTAAAGATATTAACTAACTATTAGTTAATAAATAATAACTATTGATTTATGTAGTCACGCCTATATGGCTGTGAAAATTATTTAAAAATCATATTTTCTATCACTACAGGACACTTCTTAAATGGAATAATAAATCTACATAACTATTTGAAAATATAGATGTAAATATACTTAACAATTCCAAATATCAGAATTTAAATATATACATATTAAAGGGAAAAATGAATATGAGAATAATATGATTGGTAAATCGCCAATGGTATATGTATTGACTAATACTTATTTATTTATTGTGTAAGGTACCTAATAGGTACCTTAAACAATAAATGATGTTTATCTTAATTTAAATTTTATTTAACAATTATTCTTTTACATAAATATTTACATAATAATGAAAGAGTTAAATCATAATCATATAGTTAAAAAAATTTTGTAATTTTCAATGACCATTAATCATAACTCATAATATATTATATTAAAAATTAAGTGTGCATAATATTCTTGAACTAAGGTTTATTTACTGACTTTTCAATTTATTAATGTGCTGTATAATAAGGTTGGTTAATTATATAAAATAAAAAACATAATTTAGAATAACATATTATTCTTATTTCAATAAATTATTTCTTAGATGATGTGTTTATTATTATATTGATATATACATTCAAATGTCTTAAGACTAAATAAATAAATACCTCATAATTTGTTGATAGATAATTCAAAGATTCAATTGGCACAATTTCTTCACTTTTATTCGATAATTCATACTCTTTAAAATCTATTGACTGATACATTGTATATTATTTGTATAATCATTTAGTTTCATGAAAACCTATTGATTAGTAATAGTTTAAAATTAATGAAAGTTAAAATAACTAATATGAAATAAATTAGATGGTAAACGAATACTCTATAGCACTCAAGAAATACCTAAATCATATTATGTAATAACAATTTTTAAACTATTAAACAATCATTGTATAGGGTGTAAAAAAAGTTTTTGGTGGGGGAATAAGTTATAATACTAATTTTTTATTACCTACATACCACTTGAAAAACACTTAAAGCTGTAAGACACTGTACATGTATAAACTTATAATTAAACAGTTGTTTAATATGATCCTTGTTTTAAGTAATAAAACATTGTTGTCTAATTAAGATAATAATAAAGTAGTTAAGGTAAATTGAGTTATTTTAAAGACAAAATACCTACTCAAACTTGAAAATTTGTAAAAAATAGTATCAATAATACTTCAGAAATAATTAAAAAACTTTGGTAATTTTTAAGTCCTTTCAATTAAATTTATTAATATTACTGTAAAATAAGTAGTGTTCTATTAAGTATTTCTTTAAGCTGAATTTATTATGATTAGGTAAGTAAAGTAAATATAATAATTTAAAAATCTAATAAAAAGCAATAAATAACAAATGTTGAATTAATTATCATTATCATTTATTATTTAGCTACCTTGTTAATATTAGGTACTTTTAAATTTTAATCTGAGTAAAAAAAAAAGAAATAATGTACCTCATACATAACTTTTTTATTTAAATATTATACTTTGACATATTTTAAATTATTAATTGATACAAAATTAATTCAATCAGAAGATTTTTAACTTTTAATATGAGACATTTTTTTTTAAATATATTGTTTTTATACGGTTATCTAACACAATTCTTTCTTTCCATTAGATAAACCTTTATAAAACACTTATAGTGCAATAGCTATTTTTTAATTGTGTGCTTAAATTACTTTCAAAAAGATGGTAAAATTATTAAAATGTGTAGATATTTTTAAAATAATTATTAAATTCTGGCCCACACTAATAAAAATTTAAGTAGTGAATCAAATGTAGATTATTTTGTAAATATTTTTTTAAAAATTTATGTTGTTACATCAAAAAGCCCATAGGCAACAGATCATGTGTACCTATGTATAAATATTTATCTGCTGTTATATTGTAAATACATTCACATGAGCATGCATTATGTACCACACTAACAATTTGTGTTGAATATGAATATATGATAACAACATAAATTTTTATGTGCATCCAATTTTATATTATTTTATAAAATTGAAGATGATATATAAATAATTTACTTTGATAAAAAAATAAAATAAATAACTAGATAGCATAATGTTTATTTTATAATTTATAATCAAAATATAACTCTTAACCGTAATTCCACAAAGTATTCTAATATTCATCATAAATTTAGATTTGCTAATCTTTATTGTATATTTAATAATACCAAATAAAAAAAAATAGATTCCATATTACAAGGTTAAAATGAAGTGCCATCTTAATTTTGTTTATAATATTACACATGATGTAATTGAATATTATTGAGTTTTTTTATCAATTGATTAAAAATATAATTTTGTTATGATATTTAATTGAATATAAATATATGTATATATACTATAGAAATACATAAAATCATATAATGTATAATATATATAAAAATAAATAATGGAAATAACAATTATAATACCATAAAAAGATGACAGTATGTGTCTAAAAGAAATAATAGATTGTTTTCTTGCATATTTAGGATGTTAGTTATTCTAAAACAATTAATTATGAAAAAATCATTGTTTTAATGGATAAAAATAATATAAGAACTTTTGACAAGTTCTATAACAATTTGAATTAAAAGTTTTAAACTATAAAATCAAAATATTTATAATTTTAGTTAAAATTATAGTTGTTTGCCTGCGAGTTAACTTTTATTCAGCTTGTCTAAGACGAGCTAAGCGTTGTGTAAGCTCATCTTGTTCTGTTGTAGTAGAAGATAGCGAACTAATACTTTGAGGATTGGTGGGAAGTTCTAATTTTAATTCCAACCTAAAAAAGAAACAATTTTATAAAAAATATAAATATATATAAATATACATATAATTATTTTTAAGATAAATAACAATAGCTTACCCAGCTTCATCAGCAACTTGCTGCAGTAAATTTTCAACATCCCCTTGAGGCACAGCAGTAGTAGTACTTTGAGACATGGTATTATCCATATAAGAACTTTGTACATCTAAATCTTCAAATTGATTCTCAAACTTATCCATCAATGAAGAAATTTTTTCAAGATTCATAGACTTCATTGCTGCATCCATTGCTTTTACAACACCTCCCATACTTTGGGTCACCTAAATATTTAAGTATTAATTAGAAGTCAACAAATTTAATATTTGAAATAGAACATTTTGTTTTATTTTTGTATAAATAATTTTAGTAAAATATATATTCGTTTATACTTTTACATATCAATTTATTTTCATTGTTATACAATAATTAATAAAAGATTCAACTAATTTATTTGGGCTATTATTTTACTTAAAGGATTCTAAATTAAACTATCCCAGAGTAAGCATTTTTTTTTTTTAAATACATTTAAACATTTAATATTGTAATAGAAGCAATAAATATGTAATACATAGCTATGATTATACAATTTGTTTCTTATTTATAAATTAACAATTTACAAATACCTATTGGTAAGATATGCCAATAATTGAGATAAAAAATGTTAGTGTTTTTAAATATTGCAGTTCATTATTTTATTATAATTAAAGTTAAACAATTGGGATTTATGATACTCGTGAATGTATTATGAAGTAGTATTTTATTAGTCATAACTCATAACTTATTACAGACTGAGATGAAAAATATTTTATCTTTATTGGCTAAATAAATTGTATTAAATATGATTATAAGCCACTAAATATTGTATTTTAAAATACTTCAAAATATTACATGAATTTAAGTTGTCAATAAATGAAATAAAATAATATATAATGATTAATAACATTGTACATTGATCTTTTATGATTATAAATCCCATATAAAAATAAATAAGTATATTAATAGAATATGTAAATATATTTCTAAAATAAATTATTTCTTCTTTAGACATAATAGTGTTAAGATACTTAGTGATTCTAATTAAACTAATTAGATTATTATAATACAATTTATCTATCATTAAAAAGGGCTAAAATAAAAATAAAATTTTAAAATAGTGCATGAATTACAATAAATAATAGCTTTGAATAGAATAGATATAGGATAGTTGAATAATATTTTAACAAAAAAAGTAAGATAAAAAATAAATAGTTTGGAAAGAAGAAATAACTGCTAATTACTATAATGCAAATAAGTTGATTTCATAAACACAACTTTAGAAAGAAAAGTTATATTGTATAGTTTGACAGAAATTAATAATACCTAAAATATAAAACAAATAAGACAAATAACAATACAGAGAAAGTTGTACTTCCATTGTCCAGTGCATACATTTAAATGCACTACAACAACTTTACTCTAATTTAAAATGGTTTAGGTAGTCCTCTAGGTTAGGAGTTAAGAGCAGGACTAACAACCATCCTACCTTATACAAAATATATTGCTATGACATCATCAGAGATTGCCATGGTAGTAAAAATTTATAAAAAAAAATACTAAATGCCACTATCAGAAGAGAAAATAAGATAAAAATTGAAAAATTACCAAAAAATTATTAACATATGAGATATATAGCATTTAAAATGATAAATATTAACAAAAACATTGTACTATAATTTTAAATCTCATTTTATATTGAATTTCATACAATACATTATACAATATGTAATCTTAACAATTCATAATAACAAAATGAGTAAATTAACTTTGAAATGTATTTAAGAGATGCATAATATACTCATATATGTATATATTTTAAGCTTACCTTTCTGGTCGTAAGAGCACCTTGAACTCTTGAAGCGACAGCATCTACTCTAGCACTCATACGTAAATAATTAAGTGATTGATTTTTCTGTCTTATAGCATTTTCAGCATGTATGCGAGCAACCTAAAAATAATAATCACATTATTTAAAAAAAAGATTTAAATAAAATTAGACTTACTTTAAACTATTTGTTATTAAATTTAAAAATTCATAGAATGGAATTAATATAGTTTTTACTAATTTCTAAAAATATTATTCTAAAACTGTTAGTTTGATATTGTTGACAATTTAAAGAAATTAAAATATGATAATATATTATATTTTAGTATACTTTCCTCTATCAATATCATTAATAAATGGAATGATATTTAAAATTACTCTATTAGAAAATATAAAAAATCTGAAATGTTGTACCTTGACATTTAAAATGCATCATTGTATTCCTAAAATTAATTCTCAATAATTAATAATAAAAATATGATTGAACAATTTAAAATATCCTTAACATATCTATTAAAATATATTAGGTAATATAAAAAATTTTTTAATTATCTTTATAAATTATAAGACAATATGAATAACCGATTTCACACCTAATCTGAATATTTAAGTAGTGATAAGTAGGGATGATGATCAAGCCCTAAATAATCCTGAAATTATTATAAGTGTATTATTTAATTAATCATACAAAAAGTATGATTTATAATTTACCAACAGGGTACAATCACTATAATCAAAAGGGTTTGACCAAATCAACAAAATTTCATAATTCTATATGTTCTGATAATAATATTTATTTATAATCTATTACAAAAGCATTTTTCTAGTACTGTTTATAAATTGATATGTTTATGTGAATAAAATATCCTAACCAAAATATTTTTTTCCTTAACAATTTTAAATTGAAATTAAGTGAATTTATAACAACAATATAATCAAAGCTTATCATGCTTTACTCAAATTGTAAGAAAATGTTAATTTGTTAATACATGTAACAGTAACTAATCTAGATCTTGGAACTTTACGCATCTATACTTGTAAGGAATTAATATATAAAATATAATATGATTCATATGTGTTTCATGATAATATGTAGGTTTTAAATTCATATTATCAAACTTAGTATTTATTAATAATAGAAAATTTAAAAATTAATAGAATTGGTTTAATATTTATTTAGGTTAAATTACAATTTAGATATTAACTATTTTAAACATATTAATGAGTTTTCACATAGTGTACCCATACCTATCAAATGAAAATATATCTTTTATATTTACTCATTTAATTTAATATAAGTATTTAATTAATAACCTAGAAATTGGTTTATTTGTTTTTATTTTTCTAGTAAGGTAGTTAATATTGTCACACACGCTTAAAAATATATAAGTGTATTAAATGTAAATCATTTACCTCCATATTACCCTTTTGTATGGCTTTCTTTGTTTTTAATTTTTCAGCCTTTTCTTCTTTTTCACATTTCTTAGAATTTCTTTCTAATTCTTTAACTGCAAACTTCAAATTAAATAAATGATCTACGTAATTTTATAAGGAAAATAATATTTTATAAGTACATCTTCAATTAAATAAAACCTACGAAAAGAGTAACTATAATTTTATATTAATGACTAATAGATTATAAACTGTGATTGTAAATATTGTGTTTCAAGTTGTTAATTAGTATAATACGTAATGTATATAATATAGTAATAATCACTACAATTTTGTAATAAAAGGATACTTTCCATAGCTGCCATTTCAAATGCCTAGAGAACAAATATTGGATACTGGTAATTTGTAAAAAAGTGAAAACTACAAAAGATTAAAGAATAATATTACGATTTACGAATGGAATATCTATAGACTAAAAACAAATAGACAAAAGACATTTAACACTATTATAATTTACAGTATCACAATGAAAATAACTCAAAAATTTATTCTTCTCGAATCCTCAATCCTGATAACATTCAATGACATCATTCCAAAATTATTATCAATATTATGATTATGAGTCTACAATTATTATAGATAGTACTATCTATATTTATGGTTGTACCACAGATGCTCTTTGTCTTATGGGTAATCGACATGAATAATTATGATTCATCCGAACATTCCGAACTTCCACAACACGATGTAGAGAAGATATAAGGTTATAATGCTTAACGAAAAACTTAATATTAATATGATCTAATATCTAAGGATAAAACAATTACAATAGGTCATTTTGACGACAAAATTTTAGTTAGGATAAATTCTATTGGGAGCGCCACAGTATTTAAAGTTTGAAATCTAACTTTCAGTGTCAGATTTAACTACTGTGCTGCTATAAGCACATAACAATTTCTGCTTTTTTAGATATAAAAATAAATTATTTTATTTTATACTTTGATAAGAACTTTTGTTATTTTTGAAACCATAAAATTATAATATATAATGGTAAAAGGTACATTTTTCTCAAATATTACAAACTATAAATATGAAATAAAAAAATATGATGTCCATAAGATGTCCTAAAATGCCCAGAACAACCATAATTATCGACTATTGTAACCATCTTATCGTGTAGTAATAATAACAATAATTCATAAGTAGTAATATAGAATATATAGATAATATTTCTATACAATTCTTTGCATAGAGAGACAAAGCTATGTATTATTATAGATACCTACAAGTTCATACCCGAATTGATTACGCGCCAAAAAGTACCTTAACGTATCGCCGAAACGAACATAGTCGAATTGACATTTCGCCGAAACATCACAAATACCGAAATATAACACAATAAATTATTAAGTGCGTATTAAAATACCATTATTTTAAACTAGTTCAAACATTTGAGTTTCTTTATAACACGCAATAATGCCAGACTTCTTATTTGCAATTTTAAATATAAAAAATTATTAATTTTTATAGTTGAATGAATAACATTTTGTTCGAGAATTGAGATCAATACGAGACATCGAGTAAATAAAACATGTAGCTATGTGGACATGCGGTTATGTAGTATGCATACGCTATACTAAAATAAATAATGCATTATACATTAATACACAATACACACCATATCCAATACAACACATGTAGGTATAAGTAAGTTTTTACATTTGTAAAATAACTAGGTATAAAAAATCAATGTAGGTAATCCATTACGTGAAAGTTGACACGACAGTAATACAGTATATCTTCCTTCACGCCACAGTTATTTATACTTTATACTTCAATCAAATTTACTTATTATTGTATTCTTGTATATATTTTAGATATCCAATAAATACTTTTATATTTATACATTTATATTATATATATAAAAAAACTACATATAAGGGAGTACTTTGTAAGTATATTAACAATAGCAATATAGTATAGGTTAATAATAGATCAATAATATGAACTACAAAACATGAAAGAAATTTTTCTTTTTATCTTTGTCAATTCATTCAACATTTTTTCTGAGTTAATTTCAATTTTTCTATAAATAATCAACTGAGCAAATTAATTAAAACGGATCTCTACCATGGTGATTCTAAGATAGGTTAGGTATTTAATCATGGTAATTTATTTCGAAAACGACTTTTCTGCAACAGTGTTGTAAATTTAAAAAACTACGGTTTTTAAAAATGTGTAGCAATTTAGGTAATCATTTTCATTACAATTGTTTAGAAATTCTGATAAATTGGATGGAATTTTAGACAAATTTAGTAGAAAATTCTGGTATAATCTAAGTTATGCAATTACCTACTATAGTTTAAAAAATAAAAATAAATGTGATAAACTGGTAATAATCATGAATATTTTTATACTAAATAGTAAATATATACCTAATAATTTTCAAAAGTATCCAGAATATTTTCCTATTTCGTCAGAAACTAAAAATTAAAGCTTTTCAACAATGTTGTATGTTATATGTTTTGATAAACAATCGCTTATCAATTATCATAGATATAAAATTACATATACAAATTAAAATACTATCTTACTAACTTTATACACTAATATGTAATACCTCCTAAAATAAACTTAAAATACAGAGTTTTATAGGGAGCCGGTGTCAGATTTGGTAAACACGTCATTTAAAATTTTCATTATATGATCAGATTATAATCAGTAATTAATGACTAACGAGGTCGTGAGAAACATGAGAAGGTCCGACGTGAAAGTAATACGATTGTGTGTGTGACGTGTGTATAATACAATAATTATAAAAATCGAGTATGATTTCCAATTCAAAATTTCAAGTAAAAATGTTTAGGAAAAACTGTGTCTCATGAAAAAAATGTATTCACTATCTCAGGTTCATGAGGGGGAGAGAGGTTCTGACCGATATCATGGAGGCGCCGATGTATATACAAATATAAAATGAGTAAATATTTCTTAGAAAATAAGATTACCTATATATTTATATGTCCGAATTAAATAAAAATAGATTATAATATAATAGATAATTAAAAAAATTAATTTAGAACGAAAAATAGCTTGTAGTTTGTACCTACACTCAGATTTAAAAAATTAACTGCGAATAAGCTAAAATATATTACCATCACTTCCACAATTGTGTAACTTTTAACAAGTCAAACTATAACCAATTAACACGGAATCTCGCAGGATATCCGTCCAAATGTCTAAAACCATGCGAAATATCTTATAGACATACAAGACTGTAAACTTACACAGCAATACGGCAAGTGACATACATTTTAGATATCATTCTCATGATTTGTATAATTATTTTTAATTATTAATTTTATAGTGATATCACGTCACCCTGACCAAAAAGAATCCAACACATTTTTTTAGTTAACACGCTGTACAAATGGTTTGATATTCTTACCTTTTATATAGCTATTCCCATACTGTATACGTAGGTTAGAACGTTATAACTTATAAGTTACAACAGATATAGATTAATTAAAACAAAAGTTGTTCCACGAGATCAAAATCAGATTGAAACATATTAGGTAACCACATTTTTTTTTTTACATATAAGTACTCGTATAAAACAATTTATTAACTATGTTTTGAGCAGACATACGTACTATTATTTATCCATTACAAATTCTTAATTTATAAAGTTTATGTTATTTATAAATATATAAAAATATAATATTGTCTAAGATTATAATAAAATATGCAATTTCAACATCACATTACTCGTGTCCATATATAATAATACCTCAATATTTGATAAAAAAATAATATATCATCTATACCAGCGTTTCTCAAACTGTGGGTCGCGACCCCCTGGGGGATCGCTAGTCAATTTTTGAGGGGTCGCGAGAAGTAGTATTATATTATTATTATAAGTATATTATTAAAATTATTATTATTATAAGTATATTATTACAATTATTGTTAATATAAAGTAGTAAAGTAAGTAATAAAAAATTTGTTTTTTGAAATTATTTTTTTGATTTTGTAAACGTAAAACTATGGGGGTCGCAATAGATTTTTGGAAAAAAAATTGGGTCACGGTCATAAAAAGATTGAGAACCACTGATCTATACAATCAAAACTCGGATAATAGGTATAACTTTATACTTAATTATAAATTATAACTATATTACTAATACATAACAATATATATTAATACCATATTATATTTTAATTGAGCCGAAAAACGTTGAAAGAGAAAATTGTATCTTATACTGAACTTACGTAAATATCTATATATATATTATTATAGGTAACCTCTAGCTCGGAATCGAGTTTTCCTATACGTAAAATATTTATCAAAATCCCGAGACATAATTGACTTAGTAGACAAAAGCTTCAACGTTGGCGACCGCAACGTTGACGTGCGCCCACCGCGGAAACGAATCGACGAACGATCGGAATTCGTCGTCCAACACCAAGTCCTTGTGTATCACCCAACTGTGCGCCACGGTGACGTTGATGGACATCTCGCCGAAGCCGCGATCGCACTCGTGTTCCAACCAAAAGCTCCACACGTTCTGCTTGCCACCGGCCGCGGGATCCGCCCCCGACGAGTGCTTTATCACGTACACGTCGTTGCCCATCCAACTGGTGGCCACTTCCGGCGTTCCGGCGAAACTCCAGGACTTCAACCGCGTACCCGGAAACGGGCTGACGTACACGGTCACCCTCTCCGGGCCGGTCACGTTGAACGCGATCCGCCGCCGTCGCTCGTCGCCTCCGAGTACGACCGCCCGGACCGCGGCCGCGGACCGCTGTGGCGCCGGCGGCGGACGACCCGGCAGCCAACCGGTGTGCGGCGCCAGCGACCCGGTCACCGGTACGCCGCACATCAGTTCGGCGGCGCAATCGGTGCGGACCACGTCCGGCGCGAATTCGGCGACCGTCCGCGGACCCTGCCGGTCCCAGTTGACGATCAGGTAACCGGAATCGTTGTACCGGACGCCGCCGCCGAAGTCGTGGAACGCGCGTCGCGTGTGCATCACGTCGAACCGCTGCTCGGCCACGGATTTCGAGTACGGGAGTCCGACCGGCCGGACAGCGACTACGGCCACGGCCATCACCAGGACGGCGGCGCCCAGACCGGCCAG